AGGGCGGCCGACGACGCCGCCAAAACGCCCCAAGAGCGCCTCCAGAGGCCTCCGTAGCCATTTTGGCTCAAGCCATTTTGGCTCAAGCCATTTGTGCTCGAGCAATTGATGCTCATTGCTCACGATTTCTGCTTGCTTGCGGGATTCGTTCCGACATGCAGCGGCCGCAAACATGGGGACGTTGGTGCGCCTTTCTCTATATAATGATTGTCTCACATGGAATGGGTGCAACGAAAAGCGGGGCAGATGAAATGGGCGCAAGAATTGTGATTCACATTGGCCCCCCAAAGACCGGTACGAAATCCCTTCAAGCGAGTTTGCAACAGAAGCGGTTGTTGCTCGAGAGTGACGGATGGACAATGCCAAGCCCGTCATTATTCCATTGAAGTTTTGATATATCAAAGCTCTACGATGGGAAGGCGAAGCCCGACAGGACAGTGAGGAAGGTGTGGGCGGATCTCATTGCGCACGTCAGGAACGCTACAACAAGAGCTTTGTTGTCATGTGAACATTTCTCAACACTCAAAGACGAGGGGATAGCACAACTAGCTTCTGACTTAAACCACATCCCGACTCGCATCGTGATTGTTTATCGCCCCTTTTACGATTGGATCGCAAGCGTTTACAGACAGCTGAAAAATGGAGCGAGGCAAAAACACATAGTTACGCCCACGTTCGCAGATTGGTTATTCGAACCGAGGTTTGGTAAAGTCACAGAATTGGAGTACCGGATACGTGGATTCACGACGTCTGTCTACAGTCGATGATTTCCCCATTTTCCTGACGTAAAGGTTCACGAACTTGGTCCCGATCTCATGACCAATGTAGCATGCGATGACCTAAATGCTACAAGGACTTGCGCTGCTTTGTTATATCAAACACAGATGGTAGAAGCACACGTCAGTCACAGAGAACCTACTTCCGGCGAGTGCCTCAGTCCTTTACAGCTGCGTCAATTGGAAAACATTTCCATGTTTTTACACCAGGAGATGTTCGGCTTGTTTTCCAGCTTTCCGACATCGGATTTCAATGCCATGTCGTTGGATTGTTTCGGTAATTGATGTGTAACAACCCTTACCACACACACACACACACGAAGCCGCACCTAGACGGCGCATTGGCACGGAAATACTGCGAACTCGCACATGCAGGAACAAACATCAAAAATTAATACGCCATGCAGGGGGACAGGTGTGTAATCACCAGCAGTCGTTGTATTTGGTGATCCGCTGTTCGGGAACCTGCAAGCGAAGGGCGCCATTGAGGAGGGGGGGAGGGGGGAGGGGAGGTAGGGGGAAGAGGGAGAATAGGGGCACAAGCAATCAGCTAGAGGGCGCAGCGCCGCCTGACTGCCGTGTACCAGTCTAAAGGATTATGTAGCAGAGCTTGTAAAGTGCCAGGGTCGTTGCCCGCCACTGCCAGGGCCCCAGCGTCTAGGTACGTCGTCCATTGTATCCGGGGGCGTCCTCTCGATCTCCGGGACTTCCAATCTCGAGGTAGACAAGAATGTGTTTGACCAGCTTCGAACACCGTTTGTCTCGGTAGACTGTTGGCGCTGTCCCGGGCCAGTTTGCCATATAGTTTCAATTGTCTTTCCATATAGTTTCAATTGTCTTTCCAACAGAATCGATGTCAAAAGCGGGACGTCCGCACGCTCACGTACTTCAGCGTTGCTCACGTGAGACAACCAAGCGGGAATATGTTTCAAAATTCGTCGTAGACGTCTAGCTTGGAAAGCATCTATCCGATCTCTGTCTGATTTGAGGAGCACGACTCGAGCCCATATAACAACTTGGAGAAGACACGCGATTCCAATATCAGTGTTTTCCGCTTTTGGAACAACCCTTACCCTTGGCGGGTAAATGTTTCACTCTGTGCGCTTTAATCCGCGCCCAAATGTGCACTTCTTGACGATGCATCAGAACTGGCCAGAATAAAAAAAGAAAAAAAAAAGAGCGCCTCCAGAGGCCCCTCCAAAGGGCCCCGCATTTTTGCGCTCTCGCATGTTCCGCCTCCCACGTTCCTGGACGGCGTCAGATGCCCTTCAGATCGCTCAAAGACGGCCGAAGAGGCTCCCAAGGAAAGACCAGAGACGGCCCAGGAGGCTCCCCAGATAATGCAAGAAGGCCTCGAGAGCGCCCCAAGAGAGCCCCAAGAGCGACCCAAGAGGGCCCGAAGAGCGCGACATTTCAAGGTCTCCGGCCTGGAGGCTTCCAGGACGCCCCCGGAGGCCCTCAGGAGGCTCCCAATAAGCCCCGTGAGGCTCCCAAGAGGCCCCCAGGAAGCCCCCTGCGGGCCCCCAAGAGACCTCGGTAAATCGTATTTCCCAGAGCCTTCGGGGAACATGATTCCTTGGGCTTCCGCCCACCGCCCCAACCATGTTTCCAAAAGGCTTGCCGACAAGGCCAAAAAGGCCCCTCAGTAAGCCCCCAGAGCCCCCCCTCTTAAGAGAGCCGAACAAATCATGCTCCCGGAAAGGTTCCCGGGAACATGATTCTCGGGTTGCCGCCCTCTCCCCAAACCATGTTTATAAACGCCTGCCAGGATAAAAGAACGAGAGTCCCAAGCAACGCTACCTGCCGCCACGCTCGGAAACGCGTCAGGCCCCGAAGCCTCTGGAGGCGCCCAACGACACCCCAACCAATCATGTTCCCAGGAAGTCTTACGGCCAGTGCCGCCGACGTTGAAGGAGGACGGTCCAGGACACCCAGAAATCTTCCAAACAGGCTTCCAAGAGGGCGCCGAGACAGCCCAGGGCCGCCCCCAGACGGCCCACGAAAGCCCCAACACACCCGAAAAGGGCCGCAAGAGCCCCCAAGAGGCCCCGAAACGATGACATATCGTTCGAACACGCCCAAGATGGCCTCCAGACGGCCCACAAGGCTTCCAACACGGCCCAAAGGGACGCCAAAATCATTGATTGTCCTTAGGTTTTTGATTGGTTTCAGACACCCAATGTCGCCCCAACAGGCCCCCACGAGGGCGCCGAGACAGCGCCCTGCCGCGGGCACGAGGCGGGGCCCGGGACGGGGCCCTCGCACCGGGGGGCCCGGGGGCCCTGCCGTGGCGCTGGGGGCCTTGTAAAGTCGCCCGAAGACGGCCCTGGCGTGTCCAGACAACGAAAACGACCAATGACCGCCCGAGATCACCCCAGAATCGGTCCCTGACTGTCTGAGAGGCCTCCAAGACGCCCCAAGAGGTCTCCAAGATGGCTCCCAAGGAGCCCCAGGAGACACAACTAATTTGTTTTCCTTTTTGGTTTTTGATCGATTTTCGAGTTCTCGCCTTTTGAGTTTCCTGACGCTCCACGACGGCCCAAGAGGCTTTGATTTCCGCTCCAATGCATCCCCAGAGGCCTCGAAGACGGTCACAAGACAGCCCACGGGGTTCCCAAGACGGCGCCAGAGACGCCCAAGGCGGCCCGAGAGGGCCCCAGGACGGCCCTAAGATGGAGCCAAGAGGGTTGACACGAACCGAAAATCCGAGTCTTCCACCCCGAGAGGCTCTCCGGAGGCCCAGAGAAGCTCCTAACAGGCTCCAAGAGGCCTCAAGAAGCCCCCCAGGGGGCCGAAGAGTATCCAAGAGGCCTCCCACGAAGGCCCCAAGAGGCAAAAATCCATGTCTTGCCATAGGTTTTTGATTGATGTTCGAGTTTTCAGCCTTTTGGCGTCCTGACGCTCCAAGACGGCCCAAAAGGCCTTCAAGACCAATCCAAAATAGCCCAAGAGGCCTCCAACAGGGCTCAAGACAGCCCGACAGGGCACCAATACGGCCCCAAGGGGGGCCCAAGAGGGGTAAGACGAACCGAACATCCGAGCCTCCCACCCCGAGAGGCTCTCAGGAAGCCCAGAGGCCCCCAAATGGGACCCAAGAGGCCCTCAAGAAGCTCCCCAGAAGGCCGAAGAGGTTCCAAGAAGCATTGTTTTCCCATCGGCTTTTGATGGATTTTAGAGTTCCCAGCCTTTTGGCATCCCGACGCTCCAAGACGGCCCAAGTGGCCCCCACGGCCGCTCCAAGATAGCCGAAGAGGCCTCCAAGAGGGCCCCAAGACGGCCCACGAGGGCCCCAAGACGGTGCCCGAGGCGCCCAAGACGGCCCGAGAGGGCCCCAAAAGGGCCCCAAGAGAGCCCCAAGAAGGGGCACGCGAAGCCAACAGCAGAGGTTTCCGCCCTAGAGGCCCACAGGAGGCCCCAAGAGTCCCCAACTGGTCCGACAAGGCCCCCCAAAGCCCCCCGAAAGGCTCACATGACACGTACACGGGGCCCCAAGATAGCCGAAAAGTGCTCTCGATGCATCAAAATTGCTTCAAGGAGGCCCCAGGAGGCTTCCGGATTGCCCCAATGTGGCCTCAAGCCGGGCCTCCACACAGCCAAGACAGCCAATTGATTGCTTCAGACTGCAGAACATTACTTTCAGACTGCCCGGAGAACCCTGACGATGCCCCCACGGGACCCCAAGAAGCCCTAAGATGCCCCCCCGAGAAGCACCCAAGAGGTGCCTCCAACAGCCAATTGAGGAAGCACGGAGAACCCCCCAGAAGCCCTTCAGATGCTCCCACGAAGACCCAAGAGGTTCCCAAGAGGCCCTCAGGAGGCACGACCATGTCACGCGCCTGTGCTTGATAGCGCTATCCAAGATCTTCTAGCGCGCCCCCAGCCTGGGCTAGAACCTGAGCGCGCGCGAAGCGCGCGCGATGGTTCCAGTGTGTATATACATGCTTTCACCCCCTCCTCTCGATCTGTTCCTATCCCCTTTTGGCTGCCTTGCCCCCTGTGCTGTAGTTCGTTCCATTGGCCACCGAGACAGGCGCAAGATGTGTTTCCGCGTTTCCTAATACTTTCGCCTGGTGGATATCAGATCCTCACACAAAATGAAGAATGACTCTGCACAAGAATTGCACGTGCCAGTCATGCTTCGTTCACCTAGTACTCTTCCTGCACTCGGCTCGCCCGTGGCCCCTCGCTTGCCTCCGATCGTCCCCCAGCGGCCGCCGGCCTGAGGTGCACGTGCTCGACGATCAGGAGGCTGACCCTCTCGGAAGAGAGCTTACAATTTTGCATGCGGTCGAGAACGCATATGTGAGACATGTGAGTGGTCCAGGGGCAGGCACGTGGCCACGGAATCCTATTCGCCGCCGCCACCGCACATAGCATAGTTGGCATGATTTGGGATGTGTTGGCGAGCATGCGACGTTCAACATCATGGTTACACGATGTGTTGGGCGAAGGCCCCCATACCTTGTGCATTGACGTGCGGCTCCCAGTCGTGGTGCTGTGCGATAGGGTCGCGCCGCGTGTACACGGCGACGACCAAGGTGCGGGCGTTCAAGGCCAAGCGCTGACTGTGGCCCGGAATCGGTCGATCTTGGACGGCTCGCGTTTCCGGACAGTTTAGGATCGCTCAATGGTTGAAGATCCACGCCGTGCCATTAACCAACGCAGAGGATCGTCACGACACGGGGTGGTCTGCTTGGCCCGTTTCACCCTCGAGGCCCTGGGATCTCGGGCGTTTGATTGTTCAGGCGGAGCATTCCTGTGGTCTCCCCCCCAGCGCACTTCGCCTGTTCTGGTCCTTGCTGCGAATGTTTCGAAATACGTATTGCTGGCCAGGATAACCGTTAAATTCCTCAGCGTTTTAGTAAGCAACAGGTTTCGAATAAGATGAAACAACACAACCATACATTGCCAGAGGTCCGCGCACATTTCTTGGATGGACGCTTGAACTCCCTTCTTGGCTCGGCGCGGCAGGCGCCGCCACGGGGTCCATGGCCGATCCAATCAGTTTTAGCGCATCTCGGCGTACGTACGTTCCTGAGCGTCGTGCAGCCAGCAGCAGCTTCGTGAAAGAACCCCCTGGCGCTGGATCCCCTTCAGGACCCCCCCACGCTGGAACCCCGCTAGAACTCTCACTTTTCGATCGGCCAATTCGCCCCAAGGGTGCCGCCTTCCTCATGGCCTTCGGGTTGTGGTGTTCTGGTCGCCCGTGAAGCCGCTCAAGCCAACCCGTGGACGTGCCTGCTGGGACAGCCCTGCGCGCGGGCGCGGGTTGGCGCCCTGGGCGCCCGGGGCCCATGAGCGTCGGCGTGCCCGGCATGTGGGCGCACTCAGGCGAGACCCGCCGCCTCTCGCCGCGGAGGAGAGGGGTCTTGCGTGCGGGGTCGTCGAAGCGGGGGTTGCGGATGTCTCGTCGGCTCTTGGAAGAGAGATTCCGTGGGTTTGGGGGGGTCGTCTCGCTTCGGGATGTTTTCCAGCAGCTGCGCCTCATCGAGAACTTCCCAATGCCCAGATCGTCCAGAACCGCAGACGGAGACCGAGTTTTACCCCGAAGAGCATCCCCTTGCCGCCACGAAGGAAAGGGGTCCCGAGGGACACTGGCCCTGAGGTTCTTCCTAGTTTTGGGGGGGCCCTGGGGCTCTCCACGGGCCCGCCCCGGGGGCCGTCAGGAAGCTACCCGGGCTGAAGAGTGGGCCCTCGGGGAAGCTCCCGCAGGGTCCAGGACCCGTTCGCCCCCTGCCAGATTCGAGGAGCGAGGCATTGCACAAGAATGATCCGACCTCCGCGCGGATCATGGGTCGGCGCCGCCCCCCTGGCGAGCTCCGGGCGCCCGTGGGGTGGGGGGGGGGCAGCGTTTCCCCCCGAGCTTCAGAAATGGTGGCACGGAGCTCTCGTGCGTGTCAGGGGTGGCCTGACCGAGCAGTAGCAAACCTACCGCTTCCGTGACGAACCCCCTCGCCTCACACCTGGACGCGGGCAGGAGAGGGACGCAGGTGGCAACGGCAGACCCAGGAGGACCCCCCTGCCCACCTGGTGCAGCGTGAGGGGTCTGGGGGGCGAAATCCTGGGCCTTCTCTCAAGGACTCGGGGAGGTCCGAGGAGTGGTCGCGGGTCGTCGCGTCGGTGCTGGTGACACCAATGGGCGTCCCGCAGAGCTTTTCGGCAGAGCTGATGAAGTCGGAGATCGCGTTTGTCAGCAACGGCCTCATCTGTCTCTCTCTCTCTCTCTCTCTTTGCCCCCCCTGGCGGCTTCCATGGGGTCTCCCCAGGTCCCAAGAAAGCCCGAGTGCCCCTTCAGATGACCCAAGATGGCATCCAAGACTGCTCCATTGTTCCTCAAGTTATCCGCAGGACTGCCAGATCCCAGCACGGCTCAAGAGCCATCCACGGCGGGCCATGGGTTCCCGAAAAGCATCTCCAAAAAGAGCCCCAACACAACGTATTGATGTTCTGTGGTGGTTGTATGGTTTTCGTACGCTCGCCTTCTCCGTCTTCGGAGCGTCCAAGACTGCCCAAGAAGGCCCCGAGATCGCCCCTGGGCGGCCCTCAACGGCACCAATCGGGCCTAAGAGTGCCTTGACCAAGTGGCGTCAACGTCGAATTGTGGAGGAGAGTCGAGACTTTACATGACAGCCCAAGCCGCCGACATATTTGAGGAGGGGTCGCCTGAAAATCGTGTCATCCTGGGAGGCTTTATTCACGTGGGGCGAGAGGAGTTCGGGGCTCACTTTGAAAGCCATTTCTGGGGAGGTCGTGTCCGAGAGTTCTCGTTCTCCGAGAGGTTCCCATTGTTCCCCCATCCTTCGAAAGACTTGTTCATCCTCACCTCCCAGACCAGGTCTTCTCTTCTGCACACGTTCCCACTCTTCTCGAATTTTAGGCCTTGTGACCGCCCCTATGTTCAGAGCCCCGCCACAGGCGATCGATGGCTACATGCTGAAATGCGCCGCGCCGTCGCGCGCATCTGCATGGAGGAGAACTTCACCCATGCAGGCGGAGATGTGGCCTTTCGCCATGCCGCGAATGGATATCACCCCTTGATCGTGCGGCTTACCTTGCACGTTCTTGCGCAGATCTGCAGCACCAGCTTCGGCAGTCTGCATGTTCTCACCATGGTAATGCCAGCTCGTGGTTAACAAATGATGCCCCCCCAGGCGCTGATGAATACACCCCGCGGGGCGCGAACCATGTATTAAAATCACGCGCGCCAGGGGGTCGTCGCCGGCGCCGCCGACAGGGCCATGTACCCCCTTGCATGACAGCCTCAAACCGATTGCCTTCCGTATCGAAGTTATGAGAGGGGTCGTATAATTTCATCCGAGGGTTTTTTTTCCCTTTCAGGCGTCGTCGTCGCCGCTGTCGTCGTCGTCGTCGCTTTCGCCGTCGTCGACGTCAACATGCCTACGCAGCAACCCCCCCATACAGAATCCGCGGTGCGTCGTCGTCGACGACGTCGTCGGTCGTCGTCGTCGTAGTCGCCGTCGTCGTCGTCGTCGTCTTCTTCGTCGTGATCATCGTCGGTTAAAGCGGGCCTGCGCAGCACCCCCCCGTGGGGCATCCGCAATGCGTCGTCGTCGTCGGCGTCGACGACTTCGCCGTCGTCGTCTTTTTTCTTCGTCGTCGTGGACTACAGCGGGCCTGCGCCGGCCTCCCCCATAGGGCATCCGAAGTGCGTCGTCGCAGTCGCCGTCCGTCGTCCTTGTCCTGGTTTTCGTCCTCGTCGTCCTCGTCCTGGTCCTCGTCGTCGTCGCCGCCGAAGATGGCAGACAGACCTCGGCAGACGGGAGGGAGAGGACTGCCCGCTTCGCTCGCGTCGGACGAAAGGGTGGGGAAGGAACGGGGAGACTAGTTTCGCCAGTGGGGCTCTTCAGCCATCTCGTGTCGCAGATGGCAGCAGTGCGCGAGCGATCTACAATCAGGATGCGGTGGCAGTATCATCAGGATGCGGTGGCACTGAGATCCCTCGTCCGAATCCCCCTGGAGGCCCCCGTCGGCGGCTCAGATGGACGGGCCCGCCCCCCGCCCAGACGGCGGCTCCCTGGACGCGGTGGCGGCGGCAGCCAACAGCTTCCTCGCGTCGGTGGGCCTCCGGGCACAGGCCATGCCCCTGCAAATCGAGGGGGAGGCGGACGAGGAGGAGAAGGAGGAGGAGGAGGAGGAGCAGGCATCCTGGGTACGCAGAGGGGGGGCTATCCCGAGGTTGGCTTTGGGTCCGAATCCAGCTGGACGCTCTCATTTCCTCCCAGGGGCCGTTCGGAATGGTGTTCCTCGAGTCCCGCCTCTGCCCCTACCCCACCATTTCCCCCAGCAAGGAAGAAGTGGAGCAGGAGGAGGAGGAGGAAAGAGAGGAGGAGGAGGAGGAGGAGGAGGAGGAGGAGGAGGAGGTGGACGAGGAGCGGGGTAGACGAGGAGCGGGGTAGACGAGGAGGAGGAGGAGGAGGAGGCGGAACAGGGGGAGGCCCTGTCTCCCGCGATGAGGACCAGTCGCCCGAAGGGTGGAGGCCTTGAGTTCTTTGGGTTCCACGCGCGCTACTAGCCTCCAGCCTCGGGATGCCAGCCTGGGGATGCTTCACTGCAGCTACGCATCGTCGAGAGCGTTCCAGGGGTATACCCGAATCGTCACGAGTGGCCGCCAGCGATCAGAGTTATGTCCCGAACGCCGAAAACCAGAGCCCCCCTGCCATGAAGGAGAGGGGTGCTGAGGGAAACGGGTTCTGAAGTGTCTCTCTGTTTTTTGGCTCATGTTTCTTTCATGCCAAATTGCGCCGGCCTGGGATGAACTTATATCGTTCCAGAGTTTTCTGGAATTCTCCCAGCGGCCACGGCGCCCCAGCCTCCTCCAGACCCGCCAGTTCTCAGAGATTCCCGACGTGTCTCGATTCTGAAGTATCTTCATCATGCCTTCGTCTTAGCGGGGGGTGGGGCAGGAAGCAAGGAGGACGATCCCTGAAGCCCTGACGACTCTGCACCCATCGATTTGGGCGCATCGGGCCGTGTCAATCGAGGTAGATCTGCCCAGTGCAAGCCAAGGTGTGTCAGGGCAAATCCAGATACGCCCAGACAGATCTGGCGAAATCGTGGCAGCTCCAGCGCGAGCGGAGGGAGCTCGCAGAAGCCGTTCGGACCCTTGACGAGGTGAAGGGGGCGACGAGCAGCACGGGCGAGCAGCAGCGGGAGAAGTCGGCCAGGCCCTCGCGCGGTTGGCCGGGAGGGACGGCCTCGGCGAGGCGGACGTGCGGGCCGCCATCGAGCGCGTCTGCGCGGAGGGGGGGCCCGTGGCTGAGGGGCTGCTGCAGGAGGTCGACGAGGAGGAGGAGGAGGCGGAGGACTGCTCGGCCCCGTCGGGTCGAACGGCAGGGTTGGGGATCGGAGAAACGAGCAAGCGGGCAAGCTGGGCGCCTCGACGGCGCACCGGCACTGAAGAACACAGGCGCCTGCGTCCACAGCGGACGCTGGAACACCCACAAGATCGGGTCGAGCCCTACGGCTGGTTGGTGCCAAGCAGGACCGCGCAGGGCGATCTCGGGAACGGGGGGGCCCAGAATGAGCCGCATGCCGCGGTTCGACACCGCCCCAGGCTGGGGCGCTCTTCTCGGTGCGCTGGTGCCTCGGGCGCTGGGAGGCGCCGGAAAGACCAGTGGCATGCATTGATCTAAGTTCAGAGGCGACGGTAGGGGCGAATTGCCCAGGGAAGAGCAATACATGTGTTCAGGTGCACCGATGATCCATGTCATCGAAAAGGCTCCCGGGCGAATGCGTGTAATGCCCGCCCCTGGGCTATTCGCACTTATTGTCGCCGCCGATAAGTTGTGCCCATTTGCTTTTTCACACACTCGTTGAATAGACCGAGATTCTGGAGATTAATCTCCAGGGGAATTGATATTAGTATTAATCTTGGTCGTCGCCAGGATTAATTCATCCTGGCAGATTGCGGTCGATCGCCTTCCCAGGAATCTTTCCAGGATGCCGCTTCCTGCAGATTCTGCCTTCTCGTCCCCCTCTTTCTCCTTCAGTTGCTCCTCCCCTCTCGTAATTGCCTCTTCCCTCCTCGCCGCATCTCTTCTACCTCATCTCCCGTATTCTTGATCCTTCCACTTCCGAGCATCATCCCCATCATCTCCATACCCCTGTCTCCTCCCTCATCATGCTCCGTTTCTTTCCTCTTTCTTGCTTCACCTCTCCCCGTTCCTGTTCCTCCTTACCTTCCTCCAGTCGCTGGCAGAGGTCAAGTCAACAACGCACAACCATAGCACCAAGGCGAGGCATGGGGCATGGGCCCGCCTGAGGCTGACAAAGGGGTGCGACAATACGACGGGGCAGACAGAGCTACCGCTGGAGACGAACGAATGGGAGCTGCGCCGCGGTGCTGCTGTCCGAAGCATCAGATTTTGGAGGTCTGCGCGGGTTTTTCGGATCAGCGCTGGCCACCCGTGGTTGGCGCGCGACAGCCTCTGTTTCTGCAGCTGCTCTTTCTTCTGCGCTGTCCAGAGGTGTAGCTGCTCTGCGCTGTCCACGCGGAGTAGGCCACTGACAGAGGGCGGCGACGAGCGCGTGCACAGACCCGCTCGCAAGTGCCAGGAGAAAGCCACGCGCGGCAGCTCACGTGCGCCAGGCCCTTTTCAGTCATCACCCGGGCACTGGCCCAGACTGGCAGACCCCAGCGTCGCTCTGTCCATGCACAGGGGGCTTCGGGCAGGATCGTGAGATGAATTGTTTACCATTCGTTCGCCCCCAAACAGCGAGGGGGGAAGGGTGCGGGCGGGAGGGGGCGAGCGGCGGTAACGTCGGGTTTTTTTTCGTCGCCGCACGGCGGTGGCGGTGGTGGTGGCGCTGGAAGGAAGCATGGGAAATCCGCCATGAAGGAAAGGGGTCCTGAAGCCCACAGGCTCTGGCAGTTCTTCACGCTTCGCGTATCCCCACCAGCTTCAGCTGCAGGTGGTATCTCGCTAGTGCACATCAGAGTTTCGTCTTCTGAAGGCTTCTACGGGGTCCACCCACCTCGTGGCGTCAGTGGGTTCGTTGCGATAGGCCCCCTTTTGCCTCACCATTGTACATGGTTCAGCCTAGTGTGTGCTGGTCGCTCGCTCACTTCGCACGGTCAGCACGAGTTTGGCGCCGAAATGGCGACTAACTCTGCTGTCTTCGCACTTGTAGCTCGTGCCCTTCGGTTCGTTGCTGCGCCTATGTGCGTTTGTTTGCGAATTTAGTTCATTTTGTACTGTGCATGTGCAGGTGCGAGCATGCTTGCAGGTGCGGTCGGCTGTCGACAGTGACGGCTGGATTCGCAAATTTACAATGTACCGTGCCCCGGGCGTTGTGCCCGCTCCCTGGGCTTTTCCTTGAAGCCGCGACCAAAAAAATATCCCCACCAACCCTGCTACTCGCCCGTGGTCGCCGCCCCCGCCCACTCGGTGTCGACGGACGCTCGGTCCTCCCCCACGCCGTTTTCAGGGTCGACCTGCTCCCCTGGCTTGGCGCCGCCGCTTCCATGCTGGGTTCGGTCCCTCTACTTACGTCTCGTCGCCTCGCTGTCAGAGCGTTGCCCTGGCGTCGCTCCTGCTCCCCCGCCGCGGCCGCCTCCGCCGTCGCGCTTCCCCCTCGCACATTCGGTCGTCGTCCTCGTGCACGTGAACTCCTGGCCCCCCCCCCGGCGATTTGGACTTTCTCCGTGGCGCGCCTGCTCGCCCGCCCTCGTTTTCCTCGACTCCGCGACGGTGGTCTTCGAGTACGCCGGCTTGCCGCCCATCGCCATTTTTGGCGTTGCGCGTGGACCTGGTGCTCTTCATGGTCCTCCTGGCCTTCTGAGTGTCAGCGTAGGTCGCCTGCGCGCTCGTGGCTTACTTTAGATCGTGGCTTGCTGCTTCGCTCTGACGGCGCCGGGCACACCTGCGCGCTCGCGAACAAAAAAGAATTCTAGACGCTTCGCGTACCCCCACCAGCCCGTCCAGAAACGACGCCCAGGCGAGTAGAGGGTCGTCCTGAGGGGCTTTTCGGCGTCTTGGGTGCCTCGGGGGGGCCTCTGTGGGCCGTTCGGGATCCTCTTTGGGGCCTCCTGGGGGCCTCTTGGGGCCTCTTGGGGCCATCTTGGGGCCTCTTGGGGGTCTCTTGGGGGCCTCCTGGGGGCCTCTTGGGGGGCCTCTTGGGGCCATCTTGGGGCCATCCTGCGGCCTCTTGGGGCATCCTGGGGGTCTCTTGCGGCCATCGTGGAGGAAATCGATCCAAGAGGAGGGGGGCCTTAATTAGCGCTCCCCCCTGAGAAGGCCAGAATGGGGCCAACACCATTGTAAAATCAATGTTTTTGACTTCCTCGCCGAGGCCGTTTTGGACGCTCTGACCGCTCCCCGCCCCTCCTGTCCAGGTCAGTGGGGAGGGGGTAGGGGGAGGGATAAACCCCTCCCCGAAGGGGAAGAGGGAGGGGTGGAAGAGGAAACTCGTTAAACCACCGACGCCCAGAGGGCTGGTGGGATATCCACCAGCCCGTTCAGAAACGTTGCCCGTGAGAGTTGACGGGAAAAAAAGGTACGAATGAGCACGCATATAGCGAAGCACAGCGGGCAACCAGGATGAACAGAGAGATCTCTGGGAGCAAAACCGTGGCTCTGGAGTGCCTCTTCGGGCCATCCGTGGGGCCTTCGAGAGGGGGAGGAGAGGAGGAGGAGGAGGAGGAGGAGGAGGAGGAGGAGGAGGAGGAGGAGGAGGAGACGGAGGAGGAGACGGAGGAGGTGGAGGTGGAGGTGGAGGAGGAGGAGGAGGAGGAGGAGGAGGAGGAGGAGGAGGAGGAGGAGGACGCTCTTGGGGCCGTTCTTGGGGCTTTGGGGCATTCGTGGGAGCCCTGGATGGCCTCTTGGGGCCACGTTTGAGGCCATCGACCAAAGGGAGGGTCCCCGATTTCGCCGCCCCAATCCACCCCACAAGAGCTTCGACATAGCCTCTTGAGGCAATATCGGGCCGCTCCTTGTGCGCTCTTTGGGCCGTCTGGGTGGCATATTGGGGCGCTGTTGGGCCATATTGAGGCAATCTGGAGGCTTTCAACGCACCTCGGAACGAAAGGACAAACAGGCACACATCAGTAATTGCCTTAAGGTATTTGACGGGTTTGGGCCTCCTGGGGAGGTCGCGATGGGGCCCCGAGAGCACTGAATCGTTTTGTGGCCTCGTTTGGCTTCTATGTCGGAGGCTATCTTGAACAGTTTTCGTTCCGGCTATTTTGAGCCGCTTTGAAGGCCATGTTGAAATACCAGGGGCCCTCGTGGAGGCATCCTCTACCAAAAAGGACTCCCTGCCACCTCTCGGCCCCCGAAGAAAAAACCTCAGGGACGGGAGGGGGACGGTACCCCTCCCCGAAGTGAGGAGGGTTTTGGACGAGGAACGAAAGAACTCGTTAGGCCATTTTAACCCAAACGGCTGGTGGGATTTGTTCGTCCATGGGCCCTCCGCGGGCCGCAGGATTGTCAACAAAACGAAGGTGACGGTGCAGGCCGACAGGCGCTGAAGCATGGACGTGCGCCCGATGATAGGCGAGGGCAACAGAAACCCAGCCTAATCCGGGCACCCGTATGGCATTTGCTCCGGCAGGCCCTCCACAGGGAGTGTGCTCAAACGCAGAATGATGTGCCACGCGTGTTGCGTTGTGGAGTGGTAATCAATGCAGGGCAGCGAGAAGGTAGTGGTGACAGCAGCGGTGGTGGTAGCATGACTTGTTGCCGCACGACATCGGGCTCGCCCGCCCCTGATTCGATTGCCCGACCTCGGGCACTTTTGCTGGCCTTTTCGGGCCGTCTTGGGCAGTCGGAAGCCCGAAAGGGCGTACTGGGCCAGCTTGGGCCCGTCGCCTGGCAGTTGCCCAGCAGGCGGCGCTCGTCGTCGACGAACCCCTATTCGAGGAGCCGCTGGCGTCGCGATGGCCGCCCGCGTCGCACCCGAATCTGGCACCGGCCCGCCAGGCATGGTCCAAGCGGGACCGTTTGCCCGCGTTCGCACGCCAGGATCTCAAAAGCCACGGGCGCCTCTTCGGTAGCCCTTGCCGGATACGCGGGGAGATGGCAGGGCGAAGCCGACGCCGCTCAGGGATTTGGCTCGCGGCCCCCAGCGCCAGCGCCGTCATCTTGCAGTTCGGCCGCCGATCGTTCGAAGGGCTCGGCCTGCGAATTCGGTTCGGAACAACCGTCGACGTAACGGCGGTTTCCCATGCCGTTGGTTTTCCACCTCGTTGTTTGTGTCTTTGTTGCAATCAGAACGACGCTGGCGTCGGACCCCGATTGGTCGGGACGGCGCTCGTCGTGTCAATGCAGATGTGCCTGCGTTTCGTCATGCGGCGCCTTGTGCACCGTCGAACTATTTTTCGATCATGATGCTCATGGCAGGGTTCGAATGGCTTATTATATATACATATATATATATATATATATGTGTTCGATTGGCAGGGTTCGAATACCTTGAGCTATACATCTGCACTTTTATATACATATATAAATGTAGATATGATCTTCCGATGCCGATCATGTCTGCGCCATTGGTTTTTCTATCGGGGCGCCCATGGGCGCCGCTGCATGTAGGCCGCGCCCGGCCATGGGGAACCATATTGAAAGAGCTCTTCGCCTCTTCGCGCGACAACCAAGGCCGCGCGTCGTCCCGCGCTTCCTCGAGCGGGGAAACTCGTGTAGTTTATTCGTTCGCCGCTTGGTCCCACTCAGTGCAGCAGCTTGCTAGGAAGTGGCGTCCACGAGAGACGAAGACAGTTCAAAAGCCAGGTCGGGCCCCCCTTAGTCCGTGCAGCGTTTGGGGACTTACGCAGTGGTGCTGATTGTTCAAAGTCACGCTGGTGAGGGCCCAGAGAAAGGACGAGCCAGGAGGCACGGGGGGGAGGGAAGGAAGCAGGCACGAGTTGGGGAGCAGGTGGTGGAGGAAGGGGACGAGGAGGAGGGTAATAACGCTGAAGTAGCAGGCGGGCGCCCCCCATCCCGACCAGCAGCCTCACATGTTTGTTTTTGTTGTCTTTGCAAAACGAATCTGTTATGCATTCCATATCAGTGTGAATGTATGCATCTCTATGTACGTGTACAGATACATTCGCGGACGATGCGCATTTTGAGCAAAGTTCGCGGGTGCCCGCCCCAGCCGCGTCACGAGTTGCTTCACACGGTTGTTCTATGAATGGGGGTGATCGAATTTTCCACGCTTCGCATATTCCCACCAGCCCGTTCACAAACCTGGCCCATGAGAGCTGACCGGGGAAAAGGGCGGAGAGACACAAGTAGTGATATACATTGGGAATTTTGGATGAAAAAAACAAATATCTGGGAGCAAGGGGGTGACCTTGGAGGGCTTTTTCGAACCATCCTTGGGGGCCTACAGGAGGGCGAAGGGAGGAGGTGCATGATGATGATGCTGATGCTGATGTTGACGCTGCTGATGATGATGCTGATGATGATGATGATGATGCTGACGATGATGCTGATGATGCTGATGTTGATGATGATGCTGATGATGATGATGATGATGATGCTGATCATGATGATGATCATGATGATGATGATGATGATGATGATGATGATGATGATGATGATGGTGGTGGGGAGGAGTGGGAGGAGGAGGAGGAGGAGGAGGAGGAGGAGGGAGATGATGATGACGATCATGCTGATGATGAAGATGATTATGATGATGAGGAGGAGGAGGAGGAAAAGGAGGAGGAGAAGGAGGAGGAGGAAGAGGAGGAAGAAGGGGCGCCCTGGAGGGTCTTCTGGGGCCATCTCTGTGACCATCCGTCAAAGGGGGGGGGAGGGGAGGCCCACAAGTGCCCCGCCCCCTCCCCCCTGGGGCCATCAACATCGTTTCTTGGGGCCGCTCTTGGGCGCCCTTCGGGCCGTCTGGTTGGCATATTGGGCCTCTCTTGGGGTTTTCGTTGGTCACCGTGAGGCCCCACAAACGCATCGGGAACGAACAGGCCAGAAGGCAGCATGTATTGTTTGCCCGAAGGTTTTTTCCCTACCTAGGCTCTGCCTAGAAGGGTTCTTAATATGTATGCTTAAAGGGCCGGGCAGTGCTCCCCGCCCCGGGCGGTTCCCCCAGGATCCGCCCCGCGGTTCCCCCAGTTACGTCCCCTGGGTTCACCCAGCTTAGCTTAGCTTAGCTAAGCTTAGCTTAGCTTAGCTTAGCTGTGCCTAGCCTAGCTTAGCTTAGCTTAGCTTATTTCATCTTAACTTAGCTTAGCTTGGCTTGGCTTAGCTTGGCTTAGCTGAGCTTAGTGTAGCCTAGCTTAGTTTAGCTTAGCTTAGCGCAGCTTAGCGCAGCGCAGCATAGCGCAGCGCAGCATTAGCACAGCATTGCATAGCATAGCATAGCGCAGCATATCATAGCATAGCATAGCGCAGCATAGCATAGCACAGCGCAGCATAGCATGGCATAGCACAGCATAGCATAGCATAACATTGCGTAGCATAGCACAGCGCAGCATAGCATGGCATAGCACAACATAGCATAGCATAGCATAGCGCAGCATAGCATAGCATAGCATATCATAGCATGGCGCCCCATATCATATCATATCATAGCCTAGCATAGCATAGCCTAGCGCAGCATATCATAGCACAGCATAGCGTAGCATATCATATTATATCATATCATAGCGTAGCATAGCATAGCATATCCCAGCATAACACAGCGCAATCGAGCGTACCCTAGCATAGCATATCATAGTTCAGCATAGCGCAGCATATGGCAGCATAGTGTAGATGTAGATGTAGATGTGAGTCTCGCTGTTGATGTTGATGTAGATGCAGGTGTATATGTAAATGTAGCTGTCGGTGTAGATGTAGATGTTTCGTTCCCAACTGCTCCAACTCCTAGGTAGGGTGGCACTGGGATAATTGAACAAGGATGTTGACCTCTTGAGGGGGTCCTGCAACGTTCAGAAACGTTGCCCATGATAGCTGATGGGCAACGGGAGGAACGGACACACACACACACGCACACACATACACACACACACACACCCGCACTCGCTCTCTCTCTCTCTCACACACGCACGCACGCACGCACGCACCGATCTCTTTCTCTCTCTCTCTCTCTCTCTGTATATATATATATATATATACACATACACATACACATACACACAAACACATACACCTCTGCTATTTATGTATATGTAGTGGCACGCAGCGGGCAACCAGGATTACCGCAGAGATCTCTGGGAGCTGGGGGGGGGCTCTGGAGGTCCTCTTCAGGCCATCCCTGGGCCCCGCGGGGGGTTGTTGAGAGGAGGTAGAATAGGAGGATAAGGAGGAGGAGGACAGAAGGCACACATCAGGCACACATCATTGAATTTCCTCAGGTTTTTGAATGGCTTTGGCTTCTTGGGGGGTCGTGAGGTGGCTCCGAGAATATTAAGACGTCATGTGGCCCTCGTCGGGCCTCTTGGAGGTATATGGAAGCCATCTTGAATCATCGTCGTTTATATTGAGCAATCTTGAAGGCTATCTGGGAACATCGGATGCCATCTTGAGCCATTTTGGACGCTCTTATCCCTCGCCCTTTCCCCCCGTCCAGACCCAGGGAGGGGGGGGTAAACCTCCCCGAAGGAAAGAACCAGTTTGTGAGAGGGAAGATACCGTTACCTAGACCACCCTAGCCTAAATGGTTGGTGGGTTTAGTATGGTTTACGCACGTATTATGCCCTGAGGAGGTTGCCGACGACAAGGCGGCCGATTGTGGCTTGCCGCCGTCGGTGCCGCTGCCAGTCGCGCCCTTAGGCTGCGCCCCAGTGGCCAGGGGGGAGAGGCATCGCGGAGCACCAGTCGAGACAATGGCGCTTTTCCCTGATGTTTTTCGTTTTTCTCCCGGAAGATTCTCGTCGCCACGGCTAGATCCGCGTCGAGAAATGGGTCAGGATGAAGCCCAGGAGGTGCCCAGGGACCGATTTTCAGCAATTTGCGATGTGCGGAAGGGCCCCCGTTGTCTCAAATGGCCCTCTTCGGACGGAGGGCGTTTGGGCAAACAGGCGAAGCTTGGTTGTGGGTCCAAGGTTGGGCGTGCCAATCTTGTCGACCACGACTACGGCCACGCCCAACCAGACATTCTAGGATTGAGTCGTTTCAACGTTTTCTTCGGCGCCCATAGTTTTGCCATCCTTTGGATGCTTTCCAGCAGCTGCGCCTCGCCGAGAGCGGTCCAGATGTGCCCGAAACGCCCGAAAGGCCGCCGGTCTCCGGTCTTCCTCATCTTTCATATCATAGGCCTCAGACTAGGCCTTCGGTCTTCCTCGTCTTCCATATCGTAGGTTTCACTGATATGCTCGCGGACTTGCGTCTTCCAGATTCTTGCCACGGTGGCGCCAGGACCGTCCCGGGCTGCCTTATGATGCCGGAGCTACAACCCACATGTTGTTTGTAGGCGACCTACTTGTCGAAGTGGCAGGCAGGGCGTGGGTTCGCAGGCTCGAAGGTAGTATGGCCGCGACCTTACAGGCAGCGTTAGTCCAAGCATGGCGAAGGAACTCTGGCGGTTCGAGCGAGTGGCAAAGAAGGCGTAGACATTGCACCAGGGAAGCGACGTCATGGGCTGAGTCGCACAATCTCAGGCCTTGTTCGGAAAAGGACATGGCGCGATCGGCACCGTGATCGGCGGCGGGGCTTCACCCGCTTCGAGGCCGCGCCCGCGGCCGGCACGCCGCACGACCTCACGCAGTTGTTCGACGCATTTGCTGGCGAGGCGGCACGGGAGCAGGCAATCAAGATCTTTCATTCGAGATGCGCACTCGTGGCCTCATCCGCGTGAGTGTGTGTGTGTGCGCGCGTGTTCTCGCTGCTGGTCGCCGCCCGCCTCGTCCTTCCCCGCCGGGTCCCGCTGTTTCCTCTGCCGCCGTCTCCCGCCCTCTTCTCCGCACCTGGCCGGCTCGGCGCGACGCCTTCGTGTGGCCATTGCTACACTGCCCTGTTGAGACCAGCGCGACGCAGAGTGCACGCTCGCCGCAGGAACAAGTGTGTGTGTGCGTTTACCGCGCCGCTTCACAAGAAAGTAGTTCGTGGTAAACGCTTCCCGTTATCGTGCACCCGTCGTTTGGATTCAGCGGTCGGAGAAAGCGTGTCTTTGTGCGCGTGTCTTGCAGTCGTCACTTTGAGCATCCGGCCTTCCCACCTTGCATGTACATGGTGGTTTTGATATGTTAGTGCCTTGCCCCTGTCGTTCGTTCTGCAGCAGTTGAATGGTGTTGGCCTCGGTCTAAGATTTATGTAGCGGCTCTTTTTCCGTTTTACACTGCACGTATCCAGTTCGCGTTTTGGACATGTTTTTTTGGTTTCAGCTTCATTCCCGAACGTTTTTTCAACGTAATTTGGTTGGTAGTCAATATGTTCGCTGCTGGTCCATACTGTTGATTGCGATTGTGGCGCCGCATCGCCGGCGGAAGAAAGTCTGCATGTGCGGGGTTAAATTTGTCCGAGCTGCCCGATAAGGCTCGCAGCCTCTGCGACGCTTCTTCACCGCTCTGTGGCTGGCCCTCCCAGGGCGCTGCCGCATCGCAACCACTGGTTTGCCCCTTGAACGGAGTCCCGCCTCTTTGGCAGTTTCGCCTTGCCTTCCTCACCCTCGCTTCCTTCCCTGCCAGCTCTGCCCTGGCCTCCTGCCACGTCCTCCCTTCGCTGCCGTGCCCAGTCCCTCGCGGCCTGTCCTGACTCTCTTTTCCTGCTCGCCGTTCCACCTTGCTCGTTGCCACGCCGTACCGCACACGATTGCGAACGTGTCGGCGAACAGTTCGTCGGGTGATTCGCTGTAGACAGGTGTGCATGCGAGCATGTGTTTGCTGCCCTTTCCTCAGCTTTCGAGGCTCGGATCTAGAAGTATCGTCGTTTCGTCGTGTCTGCCGCCGTCCCCATCGGAGCCTGCTCCGGGTGGGCACCTGCACATCGGTTTACAGGGCCACTCGTGAGCCGTCCTCTGTCGTGATTGCCCGTGTGCGCCCGCCCAGCCTGCCCGCCGCCGACCGTGCCTGCGCGATGCGCCGCGCCTTTGCAGCACGGCTGAGATTTGCTACGTTGATGTGTGTATGCGCGTGTGTGCGTTCCTTGTGTTGCTCCATCCTGCATTCGCCTGGTGTGTTCATTTGAGCGATCGGCTACGTTCGGCTTCCCCTGATGTCTGAAAATTTTGCCGCCCGGCTGGCTGATTAGGGGGCAATTTCAACTTCAGTCTGCCGCGCAGCTCGCTCGGGGGCTGTCCCGCCTGCCGATGGCCGTCGATTGGTGCCCACCGGCGCGTCGGAGGAAAAGATGTGTGCGCTTGCCCAGGCTGTTCGCTGGCTTTCTTTGGCGTGGCGTCTCGTGAGATTTCCTGTCTAGCGCACGTCTCCACGCAGGGTGGCCAACTCGTTGCTAACGTGACCCCGTGACGCTGCCATGGGTCCCGCTGACGGGGCTGGCCGCGCCAGCACACTCAGGTGAGAACTCTTCCACCTCTGAGTGGCCTTCTCCTCCCCCCCCCACCTCCGCGGCCGCCCCCTCTGCCCTATTCCCGCTCTTGTACGCTGGCCCATTCGCTTCTCGGAGCCCCCGTTGAGCTTGATCGCTGGTGCAGCCAAAAAAGGTCACTGGTGAGTGTTGCCGTAGCCGCGTCGGAGAAAGTGTGTGTGTGTGTGTGTGTGTGTGTGTGTCTGTGTGTGTGTGTTTGTGTATTCGCGTTTCTTGTTTTTTTCGCACACGCGTCGTTTATGTTATGTGTGCGAGTGTGCGTGAGTGCGCGTGCGTGTTCGTGTGTGTGTGCGTGTGTGTTTGTGTACACCTCTGGCTGTTGGCGTATGTTTTTTTTTGTCTCCAGCCGTGGCGATGATTTGCAGCGCGGCGAGCGGCGAGATGGTCATCAGTTTGGCGCGCACCAAGATGACACTGTTGCCGCAATCCGCTTTGGGTGCTGACTGGCGGCCTGGCTCTTCCCCATGTTCTTTTGTGTCCCTGCCTGGGCTCCCGTTTTCGTTCGTTGGCGGATCTTTGTCACGTTAGCTTTTTGGTTTTGCACGCCGCGCCTAAAAAGGCGGACAGTTTGTTTCTTTGTTCCCACCGCGCTCCGCCCCTTGCTACGTTTTGTGGTAATTCGCCAAAGGTTGTCCTGGCTTAGCGCTTCACGACGGTGCCGCCACCTCGCAAGTGGAGGAAACATAGGTTTGTGTGTGCGTCCTTCCCCTCGCCTATCCCTTCCCCTTTCACCCGGCTCCCTTCCTGTCTCCTCATCTATCTCCCCTCCCCCTACCACAAAGGTCCCCCGACAATCAAGCGGGCCGCCCGAGCATGGCCTCATGGGTTCGTTCGGTCGCCATGGTGTCCGCTTCATTCGCCTCCCCTAAAAGCGCGGTGGCACGTCGTGGGAGATTACATTCAGCATCGACGTTGGTATATACGTGGTCGTAAACAGGCGTTATCCGGGTTAGTCCCGCGTGGTCCGTCTTGAGCGTTGGTCTTGCTTCATCCGGCGCATCTTCGAGCCCAACGTGGCATAGACCGACCAGCGTTACAGCCACCGTGAGCAGGCTTGCGGGTAGCCCGCGATCGTCTTCACGAGTGACCTCCCGGGAATTGCCTCCCCACCAGTGTAAAGAGATGAGTGGGCCGTCCGGGCGAGGCTGACCGCTGCCCCGCCGCGCCCTGGCTGCCGCCGCTCCCCCCGGAGTGGATGCTCGAGGGCGGCCGCGGCGCCGCGCCCAGCGGCGGGCTCGGCAACCAGCAGGCTCCCCCGCTTCATTTCCGCCGTGACGGATAGGGGTCCGCCGGGCTTCTTCCGATCGATGTTCGTAGGAAAAAATAGACACGCAACACAAACAAGCACACACACAAACACACACAAACACACAAAACACACACACAACAAACACACACACACGCAAAAAAAAACAAACACACACAAACACACACACACATATCAAACACACACACACACACCCCAAACACACACACACACACACACACAACACACACACAAACCACACACAAAGCACACAAACACACTGTGTGATTTTTCGACACAAGTTCGGGCGTCTCTTTTAGGTTCTTCGAAGCTCCTTCATGCTCGCGATGGCTTCCAGCAGCTGCGCCCCGCCGAAAGTGCTCTGGGGATGCCCGAATGACCCGACATATCCCGAACGGCCACCGGGGACCCGATCCGTGACCCGAAAGCCGGGCCCCGTCCCACCACGGAAGGAAAGGGTCGGGCCTCAGGCGGCGGGCCCTTCCCCAGAGCCAGCTGTGTGGTTCACGGTCCTGGGGCATGCTTTCGGGCCCTCGGGGACCCCAAAAGGGGGGGAAATCACTTGGAACTGTCAGTTTCGGAGGCCCAGGGCTCTGGCGGCCACGGCCGCCGCCGCCGCCGCCTCTGGGCTCTTAGGTATGCGAGGGAGCGCAAACTTTGCTGATCTGCCACCCGGGAGGGCCACCCGTCGACACGTCGGCCCTTTCCTGCACCGCACCTCGCATAGATTTTCCGCCTGGACCTCCGAATCTATACATACACACATCTATGAAAGAGCGCGTTCTGTGGTCGCTTGGAGGGGGGGGGTCGAAGGTTTCGACCCCCCCCCCTCGATCCCTCTCCTCTCTCCTCGGGCTGGCGCTTGCGTCGGCGGCGGCTGGCGGCGGCGGCGGGGACGACGATTTCCTTTTCTGGTCCGGCGTTGGCGCCTGCGGCGGCGGGCGAGCGGCGGCGGGGAGCGTCGACGAGGACGACGGGGGTGGTGTTGGTGGTGGGTTGTGGTGGTGGTGGTGGCGGTGGTGGTGGTTGTGGTGGTGGTGTGGTGGGTGTTGTGGTGGTGGTTGTGGTGGTGGGTGGTGGTGGTGCTGGTGGTGGTGTTTTGGTGGTGGTGTGATGGTGGTTTGTGGTGGTGGTGGTGGTGGGTTGTGGTGGTGTGGTGGTGGTTTGTGGTGGTGGTGGTGGGTTGCGGTGGTGGCGGTGTTTTGTGGAGGTGGTGTTGGTGGTGGTGGTGGTGGTGGTGGTGTCGGTGGTGGTGGTAGTTTTGTGGTGTTGGTGGTGGGTTGTGCTGCTGGTAGTGGTGGTGGTTGTGGTGGTGGTGGTTGTGGTGTGGTAGATTGAGATTGTGGTGGTGGTGGTGTTTTTGTTGTGTGGTGGTGGTGATGGTGACTTGTGGTGGTGGTGGTTGTGGTGGTGGTGGCTGTGGTGATGGTGGCGGTGGTTGTGTGGTGGGTTGGTGTTGGCCGCCAGCGCCGGCGCTGGCGCCGAGGGGGGGGGTTTGAACCCCCCACCCTTGGACTGCCTGTGGTCATCGTCGCTGCGTCCCCGCCGTCGGCGCTGCTGGCGGCCGCCAGCGCCGGCGCCGGCGCTGAGGCGGGGGGGGGTTCGAACCCCCCGCCCCCTTGGGGGGGGAGGGGTTTGGGGGGAGGGGAGTCCTCCTGGTTTTGATCGTCGGCGCCGATTGTTGCGGGGGGGCCCAACCCCCCGGTTTGAAACGCGCCGCCGGATGTTCCCAAGGCAAGCGCCCATGAAACGCGATCTCTCATATTATTTTTGTATTTTCATACATATGTATATTCATATTTATACACATACACAATACATATATGCATATATACATATATATATATATATATATATATATATATATATCCGTAAGGGCTTCGCCCCCTGCCGCCGGCCCCCTCTCTCGGAGAATGGGCCATGGAAGAGCTAAGTCATGAGGCTTTGGCGCTGTCGTGCAGCAGTATCGGAACTTCATGCGAGGCCGATTCGCAATCGGCAAAACCAACTGATCACAAGAGGGGTTACCACACAGGGCGATTGGTAAGACGTGTATGGTTTACGAGCTTGGTTACCACACCTTGGGATTAAAGGGCCGAGGGAGTACTCGCAGTTTGGGTTACCACGCTTTGCGATGGATGTGCGTGAGGGGTGGCACCGAATTTCAGAAATGTGGCAAATCCCCTGTGTTTTTGGACCCTGACCCCGCGGATCTGCGTGAGGGGTGGCACCGAATTTCAGAAATGTGGCAAATCCCATGTGTTTTTGGACCCTGACCCCGCGGATCTGCGTGAGGGGTGGCACCGAATTTCAGAAATGTGGCAAATCCCATGTGTTTTTGGACCCTGACCCCGCGGATCTGCGTGAGGGGTGGCACCGAATTTCAGAAATGTGGCAAATCCCATGTGTTTTTGGACCCTGACCCCGCGGATCTGCGTGAGGGGTGGCACCGAATTTCAGAAATGTGGCAAATCCCATGTGTTTTTGGACCCTGACCCCGCGGATCTGCGTGAGGGGTGGCACCGAATTTCAGAAATGTGGCAAATCCCATGTGTTTTTGGACCCTGACCCCGCGGATCTGCGTGAGGGGTGGCACCGAATTTCAGAAATGTGGCAAATCCCATGTGTTTTTGGACCCTGACCCCGCGGATCTGCGTGAGGGGTGGCACCGACTTTCAGAAATGTGGCAAATCCCATGTGTTTTTGGACCCTGACCCCGCGGATCTGCGTGAGGGGTGTCGATTTCGAGCCCCCCCAGCAATTCAGACAACGCGCCCAGGGGACGCTAAAAGTCTTGTTTGGGCCTCCCCTCCCCTCGCGCGGTCAATCAACTAGTTACAGCAACCAGCAAGAAGTCAACTAGTTACAGTAACCAGCAAGAAGCAGAACTGTAACACTGGAAACTACAAGCTACAACTGGTACAGGAAACTGCGAACCCGCGCCTACAGCCTGGTGGCCCCACAAGGGGGCCGGCGGATATGTATACACATATAGACAGGTTTTGCCAAATTTGTATTTGTTTGCCTTTCTTTGTTTTCGGGCTCCAGGGGCCAATCCTTGGGATCGTCAAAGGACACTTCAGGGTGAAGATTGAAGATCTGGTCTTGGGGAATTCTTCCTGGAGTGCAGGACCCGTTTCTCTCAGGAGTTGTTGTTTGCCGCTGTGGGTCCAGAGTTTGCATCCCGCAAGTGTTTGTTTCGCCCATGTCCCACGCATTTGCCCTTCGGCGCGGGATGCGCTTTTCCGTCTGCAGATTTGCCGTCAGGGCGCGGTTTCTTCTTTCGCTCGTTCGGGGGGGGGATATTGACCGCGGGGTGTATGCGGCATCCGCTAGTAGAGAAGATGCGCGCGCACATCCCGTCCTCTAATCAGCGCCTTTGCCATCATAGTCGCCCTTGCGTCCCCGGTCCTGCCCACGCAGGCAGGAAGACCCGGTGAGAAATTGCGCAGGCGGGTGGTGAGGACTGCCGTTCAGAAAGAACAGTGCCGTCAAGGCAGGGTGAGACGCCGAGCGTCTTTTTCCGAATGGGGGTGAAATGGGGTTGAAGAACTCGTCCCGTCGGGGATCTGAGGATGCAGCTTTGAGTTCTTCAGGCGCGCGCGTCAGCGTCCCTCGGAAAGAGAGAGAGAGAGAGAGAGAGAGAGCGTCGACTCTTGCACGGGGATGCTGCGAGGGGGGATGACCGCTGTGGTCGACTGCCGCGGGCTGAGGATGACAGTTCGCCCTCCAGCCGCCCAGACCGTGCGCCAGGTCATCCGACTTGTACAGCCGAGAGACTGCTGTCGACGAGGGTGGACAAGCAGCCGCATGTGGCAGTAGAGTTCAGAGGAGGAAGAGATACCGATACTGATCCCTCCCCCGTCGCCACGGCCAGATTCGCCTCGAAATCTGGGTCATAACGTACAGTCAACCCGCATAGCAAGGATGAGCAATTCTCCCAGGTTGACCCTGCATGCTTCCCCTTCGGCCCATCCTTGGCCGCTTCCGCTGGCCGCGCCCCGCTCGCAACGTATCGACATGGCCCTCGAAGGCTCGTGCATCCTTATCGGGCGTCCTTGCTATACGCGTTCGTTGTACCCCTGGAGAGGTCCAGGGAGTGGTGGTACTGGCATCTGTTCGTCACCCCCCGGAGGTTCCGTAGACGATTGGGCGTTGACTGTGGTTTTGCGGCAGGTGATCGGGGCACCTCAGTGGAGTTGACACCCGAGCATGCTTCATCACACAGAAACGTCAGACCACTCGGGAGCCGTCCTGGCCAGTTTCCGAACCGTCCGAGCTTCCTGAAGCCACCAAAGAGATTGCGGCTCGTAGATCGCCAGGGCGCCAGGTGTGCAAGAGTATCGTATCGAACAGGGTTGACGCGAATCAAATGTCTCTGATGCTTGAACGGAATCGGGCGAACACGAAACTGCGAAATACAAGCGACGCAGTCACTCAGCATCAAAAGAAGCACTGGATGTGCACAAGGATGATGTTGAGTAGGAGAAAGAAAAATATTGGACAGGATGGATGTGGACTGGAGTTGAATCTGGTTCGTTGTAAAAGAGTTATGAGCGCTTGATTGCACTTCAACTTGGCCGCCCCAATACGCAGATCGAGAGTGTGATGTAGCACCACTTGGCCTACAGTCCTGCGCGACGGAGAAAGTGCATCTGGCAGTGCATCTGAAGGAGAGGGAGGGGGGGAGGACATAGGTTCGCGATCGTCGACGCGGCGGCGACCCCAGCGCGGGCGTTCATGGTTGAGTGCCGCCGGTAGCCGAGGATCGGCCGACATTTTTTAATTTGTGCTAGCGGAAAGATGCAATCGCTCTAGGCAGAACGATCCACGCGGTGTCAAAAAGCAGCGACGAGGTCGTCATGACACGAACCTGTCGTACCAGCAGCAAGAGCACCATCAGCAAGATCAACAGTTGCCTCTCTAATCCGACGTTGCGTTTTTGCTCGTGACGTCGGCGCCCCGTGCTTTCGACCACTTCTCCTCGGATGAGGGCGCCGTGGTTTTTCGCTTGCGCCGCCTGGATCTGAGGGTTCAGCACACGGAAGAGACCCCGACCGCAGGCCGCGCCCCTGGGCGCCGATCCTGTCGGTGGCCAGCGGCTCCCGGAGGAGCCCGGGCAGGCCTACGATGACTCAGAGTCGTTCCGGAGCGATCTGGGAGTTCTCTTCCTCCTTCCCTTGCCTCTCCTTCCTTTTCCCCCCTTCTGTCCCCTTCCTCTTGCGCCTTCCTCCGCCTTCCTCTCTCCCTCCTCCCGCCACCTCGCCCTCCGCCAAGAGGGCTGCGGAGCGCTCTGGGACCGACCCAAACGCACGGCGCCAGATACGTCCTCCAGACCCGTTGGTTCTCAGGGATGCCCGATTGAATCCTCATCCGAGCTTGTCCTTTGCCTGCCGTCGTCATGGGGTCGCCGTGAAGGAAATCGTGGGCGTCCAAGATGGGGGGAGGATTCGGTGTGTCTGCGGACGGCTGTACACGTGGATCCGCAGCGGTGGCAGCATGGACGCAGAGCTCGTGCCTGCTGGTGGCCAGTGGCTGCAGCCGCCAGTGATTTCTAGGTTTGCAGGGTGGCCCTGCGGTGAGCCCGCAGTACTTCGAGGGGCCCTGGACGTCGATCTGCCGCCCCTCCAGTCGCGGAGGAATGGTTGCAGAAGCTCGATGGTCTGCCGCCGGTCCCCGGCCAGACCCCTTGAACAGCGGAGATGGTCGGCTGACTGGTTGCTGCGGTGGATGCCACAGCGGAAGAAACCACGGCTCGACGCGTGCGCTGTCAGCGAGTTCCAGCTGCTGCCAACCGAGCTGCATCGATGGATCGCCGACGTTTTGAGGAGGTGGAGGCTCGTGGCTGTTGGCCGCGCAAGCTGTCCGAAGCGGAGGGCCAGCTGCTCCCGAAACCTGGTGGCAGCCAGGGCCCGATGGATCGCCGGCCGATCTAAATCTGGTTCCTCCCAATTCTGTGCCGGCTGTGGGCAGACGGACGCGCTCGTCTCTTCGCGCCCTGGGAAGGAGATTCGTGGCGGCGCGGCGAAGAGGAGCATGTGCGGGAGCTGGCCTTGGAGCTCGAAGTCAACGATGCCCTCTCCGAGGAGGGCTGCGCAGCCCCTGACTGAAGCAAGGCGCACGACCAGGTGGAGCCGGGTACGCTCCCAGTCCTGCTGACGCGGGCGGGGGTCCCATCATGGCTGACGCGCCGGCCCTGCGCGCCTGCGGAAACCGCTGCAAAGTGCGGGGGCCCCCGGACGTTTTCGCGCGGACTGTTGGCGGGATGTGTGCTCGTTGTGTTCGCGCTGGGTGTGCTGACTCGGCCTCAGGCGCGCCGTGTCACGATGTCAACGGGTGTGCGTTGACTTGTTCACCCTTGGGGCCTTCGCGGCAGCCGACCGCGTCGCTGAGGCGGCGGAGGAGTTTTTACGGGCGCCGCGGGCGACGGGCGCCTCAAACGATCCAAACGTCGCCACTTCGCAAGCCGCCAGGCGTTGCGACACCGGTGGAGCAGTCCTCCAGCATCCAGGCGCACGCAGATTTTCAAGCACGTCGGAGTCATTTTCAACGATGATAGAGCGCGCCGCAGCGCCGACTCCGCTGGCCAGCTGGCCGTCGCGCGTGGCCAGTTTGCCAGAGTCTGCCAGTTGCCAATCAGATTTCGCTGGCGGTGCCAGCTGGGCGCCGCCGCAAGCATTGCTGCAGGCCTTTGCGGCGCGGCTCGCGGGCGCCCTCCGCGCCGCTGCGCGGCGCGCCTTACCCCAGGGGGGGGGGGGATTCCAGGCGGCCGCGTGGCCGTCTCGACGGTCATCGCGCCAGCGCGGAGCTCTAACGGCGAGCCACAGCCATGGCCGCAGGCATGGCCGCGGCATTGGCCCTGTGGACGCGGTGGCCCCGAACATGGCCGAGCTGCAGCTGGGGGTTGACATCGGGCGCTGGACTGGGGCACCCACCGCGCCTGGAGGCTGCCGCCTGGCAGGCCGCGCCCTGCCCGACGCACGCGTGGCGTTCTTCCTGCCATGGGCAGCTCGCGAGGCCCGCGAGGTGGCCGGGCGGCGCGCTGGCTTTCGGCCCCTGGGCGCTGGGTTCGAATGGCAGACTACGGGGAGCTGGCGGCAGAAGCCGCGGTTGCCCTCCGCATTGAGCTTGCCGGAAACGTCGCGACGGAGGCGATGGCGGCGAGATGGTGCCACGCACCCTGCGGCTCGCCCACAGCGGCGGCCCCGCAGGTGGCCAGAGCGCGCTGCGCCAGGCCAAGTGGTGGCCTCCGCGGCGAGGTCTTTGTTCGCCGACAGCGCATGGCAGGCCCGCTTGGGTGGCTGGCGCGGCCTGCGGGCGCTGGGCTCCACGCTGGGAACGCTTCGCGCGCCGCCCGCGCAGCGGGCAGGTATCGCGCCTTCCCCGGCGGGCGGCCGGCCTGCGGCTCGCGGGCGCTCTGCGCGCCGGCGGCGACGTGGCGGCGCGGCGGGCGGCTGCGCGGCGGCGCCGGCTGGATCGCCTGGGCCCGCCCGCCGATCTAATCCATGAGGGGCCCGACGGCTGCCCAGGGGAGCTGCTGCCCCTCGTGCTCGCCAGTCGCGCAGCATGTCTTTCCGGGCCTTTCCCTTCCCCCTCCCCTCGGGCCCCTTCCGCGAGCTGCTTGTCGCCCGTTCTCGCCGCCAGGGCTTCTCTGGGTCGATGGAAATTGTCAATGCGCGCGCGTGCGCTTGCGCGCCTGTTCCATCCCTGCGCCTCTGGCTTCATTTGGCCGTTCTCGCTTCCAACGCTAAGCGTTTTCCACGGCTCGCGCTGTTCAGCACTGGGCTTCCGCGAATTGCGCAGCGTCAGGGCAGAGGTGAACGCCCCCGCCGTGTTAATGGAGTTGAACGTTGTTGGTCTGCGCGCGGAGGGCGCGACTTGGCGCGGACAACGTGCGACGGCCGCCGGGCGTGGAAGGGGGTCGGAAGTGGCGCAGTCGAAGCAGATTATTTGCCAGCGACGCGTCTGGCGCATGCCCCCCCCCCGCTGCCCCAAGCCTGCGGCGCGCTTAAACAGTCGGGCCCGCCCTCGACCCCAACCGCGGGCCCTTGGGCCGCAAGGTCGCCCCTTCCTCCAGTCACGCAGTTTACGCGCGCAGCGCTATCGCCCAGCGGTCGAGCTCCCGCCAGAGGAACTCCCGCCGTGCGGTGGCCACGTCCAACCAGGCTTGCAGCGTCGCCGGGGCGACGGTGACCTCCTCGGACACAGCGCCATAGGGCGCCGGGGGCGCCCGAGGAGGATGCGCTCAGAGGGCTTCGCGCTGAGCGCGAAGGTCTTCCAGCGCAGATCGGGGACGCAGTGGAGGGCGGGCGTCCACGCGCCGCGCTGGCGTCCGAGGTTTGATCGCTGGCGGTCCGCTGGCATTGCGTCTGCGCGTCGGCCCCTGGTCGCTGGGGGCCCGTCTCGGCCCCCGCGCGCGGCGCTTTATCTGCGCATCGGCTCTCGCGCTCTAGAAGGCCCCCCCGTGCCCGCCAGGGCGATTTTAAATTCTCCGGGGCGCCGGTGGATGCAGTCGACGCGCCCCCGCGGCAAATGGCGCACATTGCGTCATCTGTTGTTGAAGAATTCGTTCGGCTGGTTTGCCGATGCCGGCGCTGCGTTTTTGGTTAAGTCGCGCTGTCGCTCGACAAAATGCGCCCGAGCATGCGCGCGAAGGCGCGATCCCAGCAATGGTCTGGGGGCCTCGCGCGCGTTTCTTTTTTTTTTTTTTGTTGCTTGTCCTTCTTTCTTTCCCGGAGCCCCAGACGCGCACGGAAACAGCGGTTCGTTGCATTGAACAAATGCCGCCCTGCCGCTCGGCGGCCAGGCGGCCGATGGTGGGCGTCGGGCTGCAAACCCCAGAGAGGCTTGGAACGAATTGTGCGGCGCGGAAGGCGTGGCGGCGGCGTGGGTTGCCCTGCCGCTCGACTCGACTGGGTTATCTCAAATCGACAAGGGGTTACCAGGGCACCGTCTCCAGCTGGTCTGTCCCGCGCGCCAGCCCCTCCGTCTAGCTCGAGAATTCCAATCTGGTCGGCAACAAAACGTGCTCGGCGCCAGGCCGTTCTTGCATTCGCAATGCGCGTTCGTTCCCGCGCGCGCCGCCCTGCGAGCTGCTTCGTCGGATTGCGCGGGCGGCGACTTGCTCGGTCGACCTGCTGGGCCGGGATTGGGCTCTGCAGGAGTTCTCAAAAGGGCCACCGACGAGCTCCTCAGTATTTGTTTTGTTGCGTGAGCTTCTTGCTGTGGCCCATCGCAGGTTCTGCTGCGCCCGACGGGCGAGGCCCCGCGACGCGCCGCTCTTGTTCTGCGGTTGCTGACGCAGGCCAGGCGCGTGGAAAGTTGAGCGGCCGTGTGGTCGGGGGCTCGATGCAGCCGATCGTGCCCACCGCGCCTTCAAGACGAAGGCAGTTTTTGCGTCGCACTCCTAGGAGTGCGGCGGCTCACGTGGGAAGTCTGGAACACTGTCGGGACGTTGGTCTTGCGCTGGTTGTTGTGGATTCCAATTCTTCGGTCGGCTCCCAGGGATTGAATTTCCCCCCCGGTTGGCGTGGCGTCGCGTCGCGCGCGCGGAGTGCCCGTCGGTGGAACTCTGCCCCCGTGCTTCCCACCTGCCGTTCTCGCATGGTCGGAGCGCACATGGCCAAGAAGTGATGGCGGCGTTCTCGGGTGTTCATGGCGCCGCGGTAAGTAAACGGATTGCACGTGCTCTTTTTCCGCATGTGCAGTTTGCGTTTGATTTATACGCCAGCTTTGAGGTCTGAAGATCGAAATGCGCCGCAGGAGTGAGACGTTTTCCGTCGCGGCGACCCTGCGAGCATGAACGCGCATACACCGCGCCGTGAGTTTGGGCTTTGAGATGTCAGCAGTTCATGGACACGCTGGGGGGCCAACGGCCGCGTCCAATTGTGACTTCGGGTCTGGTTTCACCCTGCAAAGTTTGTGATCCTGCTCGCGGACGGCGCGTTCGCATTGCTCCGTTTCAACCCCGGGCCGCGTCTTCTTTTCGCCCGACGCGATGGCGGCCCAGCTAGAGCCGCGCGCCACAGCCGCCGCAGCCAGGCCCCCAAGACGCCATCCCGGGCCATGGGCGAACAGGCGAACCATCGCGACCAGCGGATCCAGCAGCAGG